GGAAATTTAAGCTGGGCCATTTCAAGGGTTTTACTCATTCTTCGTGGTGCTAATGAAGTGGCTCATGATTAAGCTAAATATTCTTTGTACATGATTCGAGAAACCTTATGATTTCCTTCAAGATGTCAAGAATCGTAATTTGCAGTTATAAACAAAATATCACTTTCATTGCCCAAAAAACTAATAAAATTTTATTTAGCAAACCCAAAATTTAAAATTATAAAACTAAAAGTTAAAACCTCCAAAGTCGACCTCTATTCTTTTCCAAGCAAGTAGTGTAAGTAAACTAGATTGGTGATAAAGTTAGTGAACATAAAAAGATGCTAAACAGCAAAAAGACAGGTGCAATATCTAAAATGCATAGGTTAATCATAGTTAAGTTGTCTCGGAACTACCATAACACTGAATTGCTCTTCAATTATTTAAGACAGAAATAGAATGCTCCCCTATTTTTAATAAACAAACCAATTATTTTGAGACACACATCATTCATAGTGAAAGTATAGATGAGTGTGGGGGGAAATAAACAAGAAATAATGTTTTGGTGGAAATTGACAAGAAATACGTAATATATTTTCTGATGAACTTTTTCGTAAAGGACTATTCGAGACGGTAAGAGACCAAATTAAATTATAAAGACAGGATTTTTGTCTTCAATCGGTGAGTGATGATCAATTACAGTTCATCGCATAGATTTTAACACTAAACCAATCAATTAATTTTATAGAGTATAAGATGATATAGCCTAAGACTAAGAGCCACCTTTGACAAAAAACTAAAAAAAAAAAAAAAAAAAAAAAAAAAAAAAAAAAAAAGATTAAGAGCCACCACATTTCTTCTTTAAATTGAATTATTTTATTCTATATTTAGTATCCTATTAACCCATTACAGCGTTACTTAAGTTTTGGGTAATTCGGTCAGAGAAAATTACCCAATACGTTTAGCTGGATCACTATTACTTTCTAATACCGTATAATTTATGATGAATGACAGATTGCATGGTGAATAAGATCTTCATCTTTAACTCATGACTGTGTTCAAGATTTCAACGCTCTCCCCTTCTTCTTAATTCAATTTAAAGTAGTAACATCGTTTATAACAAAAACGAATAATGTATATATAAATTTTGTCTCTAAAAATGCATATATATATATATAATATATATATATATATATATCATTTCCATGACCTTTATCCACAGTTGTACCCACTGGTGATTCAGTACTAGTCAACAACACTACCTTCCATGAAGTGCCTTTTATTACCCAATTATGAAGCAATTAGAAAGTTAATTGTTTTTGCATTGACCCAATTAGTTACCTGAATCTGGATGAAATCTAATTCAATATATAATTCTTAGTGCATGCTAACATCAACTTGTCTTTAATCTTTCATTCAATTCAAAAGATCAGAACCAAATGATGAACAAGAGAAATTTGATACCAACCATTAAGTTTGTTCAATGAGCATGCAAAATCTAACCTCCCACTATTCACCATTTCAACATCCATGTTGTTAGTTACCACCCCATTTGTCATACCAATTATTTAGGGTTGGACTAATTAAATTCTGGTATATTTCCTCTAATCTGCTGCTTTCACACAGGATTATATTAACACTTTTTGTCTTTTGGTAGATTGGTAAAGGGGCGATCGAAATCAACGTGACTCCCCACCTTGCGTGGGCCGAGGGAGATAAGGGGTGAACGTCTTTCATACGCATCCTTACTCTTGTTTCGTAAAAAGACTGTTTACACGACTCGAATCCGTGACCTTCCTGTCACAAAGACGCAACTTTTTCAGTAGATTGGTATGGAAATTAAATAATTTTGACCAATCCATATGGCAAGTGAAAGAGAATTTTAATAGAGGTCTCCAATAAATTCGTGGAGACATGAAGTTGCTAGAAAGCTTTATGTTGCTTTCAGTGGCAGGCAAAGACTCTCTTTCCTGCTTTAATTTTGTTAATTTTTTAAGAAATTTTCCATGCACTGCCTGTTCTTTTTTGTTGTTTGTTATCTCCATTTTTCAACTACAAAGATACTATACACACTCTTTTAACTGAAGCTTGGTCGTGTCCTTTTTTTTCTTGTTTATAGTTGTAGGATCATGATGCTGATGTTTTGGGTAAGCAAAGTACTTGCAGAAAAAGATGGGAAAGTAAGGGTTTGTTTAGTATTTTATTTGAAAATTTTTATCGTTTTTCAAAATATTTTTTGAAAATAATTTTCTTTAAGACTTAAAAAAATGGAATTTTACGACTTAAACTAAACAAATAGATCTAAAAAAATGGAATCACAAGAGAGGGAGAAAGAGAAGAGAGGAGGAAAGAAAACAAGAGATGATTGAAGGAAAAAGAAAGAAGGGAGATAATCAGACGAGATAAAGAGGAAGATGAGTGAGAGAAAGAACCGAAAGAATGAAGAGGATTGGAGGAGAGACGAAAAAGGTAAAAGAAAAAAAAGGAAAGAGAAAGAAGAAAGGAGAGATAGATTTGGAGTGAGAAGGGAAGATGGGGAGAAAAGAAATGAGTGAGTTTAAGTTTAAAAACTCTAAAAACTTACTTTTTATGTTTTTAGAGAATAGACTATATTTTTGAGTTAGTCTTAAGGTCAGTTTTTTTAAATAGTCCTACCAAACAAGTTTTTAAGGCCTAAAACTTGAAAATTGTTTTTCGAGTTTAAAAAATTAGATTCAAGTAGAGTTCCAAACAAGCCCTAAATTTTGCATGCTTTTTTTTCAGTGATGTCATTCTTATGCCTTGCTTTCCTCATTTATTTATGCCTTTGTATTTTGTTGGGGTAGGGGTAGGCATGAAGGTGATCGACAGTTAAGTACTTTGTATTTATATGTTTATTTGACAGATAATATGCAGAGGTTATATTCATAAGTCTCAAGTTTTTTGTTCGCCAAAAACAAAAGTTTGAAGTTTTGAAGGCAAAGGATCCTTTTAGTGGGGCATTGACAAAGAGAAATGTCAAAGCTTAAGGGGACTCTCTTAAAAGTGGAATTATGAATTATTTGTTATCTTATATTTTTGGCACAGTTTTATAATGTTGACGAGAGAATTGACGTTAAACCCTGAGGACATAGTGTCCATAAAAAGTTACACTTTGAGAGTTACAAAGGAAAAAGTGAAGTATTACTTAATATTCTAAAAAAAGAGTTATGAAAATGAAAATAAGGAATGAAGAAGTGCAACATGACATTTTATAGTGCAAATAACAATTTCAAAAAAAAAGTCAAATTCTTCACATAGATCATCTTAATTTAGCAAAATCTCATTCTGGTTAGGTAAGCAAGCATCCTATAGGCTTTGTTTAGTAGGATTGTAAAGACTCGAGGCAAAAGCAAGTCTAACTCCTCGAGTTCTTGTAACAAAAACTTCCAACTTAACAACATTTTAATAATATAATGTAATACATGAACGATATTTTACTTTAAGAATTTGATGATTAGGAGTAGCGGTGGGCTAAGTTGTCACGCTTGTAGTTTCTTTTGAAACAAAAGAATACTCAACTAAATGTCAAATTGAAGATAGTCAATTCAAAATTAGAAGAAAAAATATATGTTAATACCATACGGTCTACTGTTAATTCTTATCACTTATAAGTGAGAGGTTTCACATTCAACTTACATAGATGACGATGACGTGTTGTATTTGTGTTGAGTTCACTTCATAGTTCGGGGTTGACCCAACATGTAGCCTATCCCAACTCCCTTCCCCTTAGACTAGAATATCGTTTATCCAAAAAAAAAAACAAATGATGATTTACCCTAAGAAAACTTCTTGAATAGAGTAGAATTCGAGTTGTTCTATAAAAAAAATAAAATCTACACGAGCTTTATGAGTCAAACATATCAATGCTCAAGTTTGATTTGTTTCTTATCGAGCCGAATATCGGTTTGACATGTTAATCTTTGACAAGCCAAACACGACCTGAACTTGGTACAAACTCATAGTGTTTCGAGCCGGTTTCCAATCCTATTATATAAAATAAAATGGCTATTAATATCATCCCTGTTTGGATTTGATTCACGGAAATAGAATCTTAGTCCAAATAATGGCCTTCTTTAACTTACAAGGGCTAACATGCAAACCCAGAACCCTTGTGGAAGAAGCCCAATTTTTGTTGTAGTGCAGCTGTCCACAGCTTAAAATAAAATTGAGACAGGATTATTAACTAGTGCCACGGTCTATAGGTTTCAAGTTTGACTCATATCTAGCTGTGGATTCATTTATGGATTCGGATGGCCTCGGGATCACTCAGAAGTTCGAAAAAGTGCATGTGAAGATCTTCGAGGACCACCCAATGGTATGGGCATGTGGTGGAAGAGAGAAAACCATTATGACTATGCAGATGTTGTATAACAGAAGTTTTGAACTAAGAAGAAATATCTAATTTCAGACGAGAGGAACACATAGAAGATCACCATAGTTATGTTGTTCTTAGACCTTAGTTCCAACGAAGGAGAAAGAGAATATGACTCTCTTTTTCCATTTCCCAAGCTACCAACTCTTATTTTCATTATTTTTTAATTATTGTCCAATCAAATTGCTGTGTCAAAGCTATCCGCGGGTCTCTCTTACCAGAGAAGAAAAACAAGTATGGAAGGCGAATTGGGATGACGTCTTGGTAGTGATAGGTCCAGTGGTCCACTACGAAACTAAAACCCTAGCTAATTAAGAGTTAACTGTAATAACCAAACCATGCATGCAAAATTGTCTTAACACAAAACCAATTATCTCCGAACAAAATAACCGCAGCTAAAACAAACTCAAACCTCACTTAGGCTTCGGTTCTAACCTTCACTATCGATCGTTACACCGAACCAAACATTTTAAAAATCTCTCCACTCCCCCAACATTTCTTACCAAATTCAACTTCTCCAACACTTCATTTCAAATTCTAACCTTGAACAAAGACTCAAGCAATCAATTCCGGAAAAGAAAACAGCGTACGTTTAACCTAACATCCGAGGTCTAGAAAACAAAAGAAAATGGTGTCCAAGATTTTGAAGAAAACCGCATTCGACAAAAATCCCACGTCCACCAAGGGGTGTCGTGGCATAAGGCAGCGCCACCGCCGCAGCTGCTCCTTTATAAAGGCCGCAGCTGCTGCCTCCTCTATTGTGCTGACCCGCATTGGCTCCAAAGGATTTAAGATCATTCAAAAAACCCAAACCCGAGAGGGTCAACCTGAATCCGAATTATCCCGGGAAAGCCGTCCGCTCCCGCCACTGACTTCGCCGGAGAAGCGGACCGTGTTTCTCGATCTCGATGAGACACTGGTCCATTCCGTGACTGGCCCACCGCCCAAGAGATTTGACTTCGTCGTACGGCCGACGATTCGCGGCAAAGTAATGACTTTCTACGTCGTGAAACGTCCTGGCGTGGACGAGTTTTTGGAGAAATTAGGAAACAAGTACGAGGTGGTGGTGTTCACGGCCGGGTTGCGCGAGTACGCGACGCTGGTGCTCGACCGGCTGGACCGGAAGCGGGTGATTTCGCACCGGCTATTGTAGACATCAAAATTTTGGTGAAATAAATGTTGACCAAAAATTAAAATTTCAACGCTCACGTATCACATAAATTTTACATGTAGCGTGTGACTCAACGAAAAATCGAAATAAATTGGAAAAGTCATCAAATATGACACGTGTCAATACCTGGCAGAAATGATTTATTTCATCTGATTATTTAAATCCAAAAATCAAGTTTTGGAATTCTATAAATAGGAGGCCAAGGCATTCATTTTGAGGAGAAGGAGAAAAGAAGGGAGGAGAAGGAGAAAAGAAGGGAGGAGAAGGAGAAAGAAGGAAGGAAGAAAGAAAGAAGCCTTGAAACTCTAAAGCTCTCAAGCAAATCCCGAAGGATCAAGAAAGCACTCTTCGTTCTTCGTCAAATCGTTCTTCAAGATTCAAGCCCCGACGGCCCTTGAAGAACTTCCACCTTCAAGATCAAGCCCCGACGGCCCTGGAGGAAAGTGTTCATCGTTCATCATCCACCTTCAAGATCAAGCCCCGACGGCCCTTGAAGAACTTCCACCAACTCAAGATCAAGCCCCGACGGCCCTGGAGGAAAGTGTTCATCGTTCATCATCCACCTTCAAGATCAAGCCCCGACGGCCCTTGAAGAACTTCCACCAACTCAAGATCAAGCCCCGACGGCCCTTGAGGAAAGTGTTCATCATCCATCCGTTCAATTCAAGATCAAGCCCCGACGGCCCTTGAAGAACTTCCACCAACTCAAGATCAAGCCCCGACGGCCCTTGAGGAAAGTGTTCATCGTTCATCATCCGTTCTTCAAGATCCAAGCCCCGACGGCCCTTGAAGAACTTCCACCAACTCAAGATCAAGCCCCGACGGCCCTTGAAGAAAGTGTTCATCGCTCATCATCCGTTCATCCTAAGATCAAGCCCCAACGGCCCCTTTGGATCAACAACCTCAACAAATCCACACATCCGTTCATCCTTCAAGATTAAGCCCAGAAGCCCTTGAAAATCCGTTCATCCTAAGATCAAGCCCCAACGGCCCCTTTGGATCAACAACCTCAACAAATCCACGCATCCGTTCATCCTTCAAGATTAAGCCCAAAAGCCCTTGAAGATCCGTTCATCCATCAACCTTCAAGATCAAGCCCAACGCCCCTTGAAGATCCATTCATCAACTGTGCATCCTTAGATCAAGCCCCGACGGCCCTTTGGATCAACAACTCATCCACAAACCCACACCCTACGAAGATAGAATCAGAGGACCAAATTACAAAGAGATTGTAACCCCAAAATCATTAATACAAAAAAATATATTTTGTACACGTATTCTTGTCGCTTGTTTCAGGAATATCTCGTGTTTACAAATTTGGCACGCCCGGTGGGACAATCTCTACCTCTCATCTCTATCCTCAAATCATCAAAAAAAGCAAATGGCATCAAGAAAGGATCAAGCTGTTCCTGCAATCAAAGCAAAGAACAAGAACATCATCGCCGCAAGTGGTGATATTTCGGGCATCATAACCCGAAGTAAGGCAAGAGATCTTTTTGCCGCGGCTTCCGCCCCTGCATTAACTCTGTCAAAGGAACAAGAGCACCTGAGGTACGAGCCTGTGATCACCCTAGCCTCGCTAAGGGCATCAAAAGGGGAGAGCCCAAGGAAATATTCAGAGTCCCTACTCTCCGACGCTGATTCGAGCGGCAGTACAACCATGCAAGTCATGACCACTGGAGCAACTTCAATCGAGGAGCAGCTAGCTCAGATGAATGAAGCAATCGCAAAGCTCACACGAACTGTGGAAGAGAAGGACTTGCAGATTGCCGCACTTGTCAACCAACTAGATGCGCTGCCCGACGTGAAAGTCGACCCAATTGTTGGCCTATTAAAGAAAGAAGATGACGAAGAAGAGGAGCCACCAGCGGAGAAAGTTGAAGAGAAGCCGAAGCTAGACCAAGCAACGGCATCCATGGGATCTCTCTCTATCCAGCAGCTACAGGAGATGATCGCAAGCACTATCAAGACACAGTACGAAGGAAGCTCGCATGACTCCGTACTGTACTCAAAGCCTTACTCCAAGAAGATTGATGCTTTGAAGATGCCAAGGGGTTATTAGCCCCCAAAATTCATGCAGTTCGATGGAAAAGGCAACCCGAAGCAACATGTCGCCCATTTCATTGAAACTTGCAACAATGCTGGGACAGAGGGAGACTACCTCGTCAAACAGTTCGTGCGTTCGCTGAAAAGTAACGCTTTTGACTGGTACACTGACCTCGAACCTGAGTCTATTAACAGTTGGGACCAGCTAGAAAGGGAATTCCTCAACCGTTTCTACAGCACTCGTCGTACTGTAAGCATGCTAGAGCTGACCAGCACGAAACAGTGGAAAGATGAACCTGTCGTCAACTACATAAATAGATGGCGTTCTTTAAGTCTGGATTGCAAAGATCGGCTTTCTGAAACCTCTGCCATTGAGATGTGCGTTCAAGGCATGCAGTGGGGACTACACTACATCCTTCAAGGCATCAAACCACGAACATTTGAGGAGTTAGCCACCCGCGCCCATGATATGGAGTTAAGCATCACCCGTCATGGGAAGAAAGAACAGATCACCGACTACAAGAATGACAAAGTTTTGGGGCCAAAGGTGGATAAGGCTACGTGGAAACCCACCAAGGAAGCAATGACGGTCAACACAACTCCAGTCAAAATCCCTACACGAAGCAAGGCGATTCAAACCGAAGCTTTTCGTGATCAAGAGACACGTAGACGCACTTTGAAGGAGCTTGAGGAGAAAACTTATCCATTCCCCGACTCTGACGTGGTTGCCATGTTGAAAGACTTGCTTGACAAAAAGGTGATCGACCTACCTGAGTGCAAACGGCCAGAAGATATGAACCGTACTGACAATCCAAGGTACTGTAAATTCCATCGCTTCATTAGTCATCCGACGGAAAAGTGCTTTGTGCTAAAAGATCTCATCATGAAGTTGGCTCAGAAAGGGATCATCGAGCTAGATCTTAATGATGTGGTGAAGTCAAACTATACCACCGTCACTTCTGGCTCTTTGAACTCAAAATCTTCACCTCAACCGCTGGGGGCATGCTCCAAAACCATGTCAGTCAAGTCAAGTGAAGTTGAAGGATGGACTTATGTCACTCCAAAGAAAATGCACAAGAAACATAGGCCTCCTCCACAAGTTCGCCAATCGGAAAGGGGGCAAAGCAGCTACCGTCAACCTTCAAAGCTACATGAAAGTATTGAGGATGATGAAGTTATGACACAAAGATCGTCCGTTGCCATCACAATGCGCGATTTCTTCCCCAAAGACTTCTTCAATCACTCAGTCAAGACTCCTTGCTATGAAGATTGCAAGGAATGCCCCTCTAAGATCATTTGACAAATTCACCAAAGCTCCTCGTTCGCACGAGCCTAAAAGGCGACAACCAAAGCTCCTCGTTCGCACGAGCCTAAAAGGCGACAACCAAAGCTCCTTGCCCGCACGAGCATAAAAGGCGACAACAAACGCTCCTGGCCCGCAAGAGCATAAACTGTGTACGGCAAAATTATCATCAAAACCATCACCCATTTGAACTACGTCATGACTTGATCCCTCCTCAACCAAGGGTACGTAGGCAACTTGAAACTTCAAAACTTCAAGTACAGTCACATCACCAACAAAAACACAAACACTTTGAAGAAAAAAAAGCGAATTCAAACTATGAATACTTTATTTCTTTAAAGGAATGATTTGGTTACAAAGCCGTATTACAAGGGTGAGCATCACACCAACGTCACCACCGAGGAAAGTTGTGACCAAAAGACACTACACAGCATAAACTCGCTGCAGTCTTTTGCACAACCACACACGATAAAAGTGACACTTTGGGACAAGCTTCAAGTAGCAGTGGTAAAGAGCCCACGACAAGCAGTAAAGTCAATGTGCACAACAAAGTCACCGCCGAGGGAAAACCGTGACCAAAAGGCATTACACAGCAAAATCCCGCTGCAGTCTTTTGCACAACACCACATGGTAAAAAGTGGCGCACTGCAACAAGCACCAGGCAAAGAGTACAGTTGCACCCACATCTTGCTCACTCCGTCACCAATTCCAAATTCACAAGAAGCTGCCACCAATTATGAACATGGGTAATCCGTCAAAAGGCAGCAAGGAAATTTGTGAATGCAGTAAGACCTGTAAAAAAAAAAAAAAAAAAAAAAAAAAAAAAAAAAAAAAAAATACATATGTTACTATGTATTAAAAATATATATATTCTCTACTCAAAAAAAAAAAAAAAAAAAAAAAGAAAAGAAAAAAAATACATATGTCATTATGTATTAGAAAAAATATATATATATTCTCTACTAAAAATAAAAAAATAAAAAAAATAAAAAAATAAAAAAAAATAATAAAAAAAATAAAAAATAAAAATTATACATGTTAAAATGGGGCTGCCTACACTTAAGACCCATGCCAACTCAAAGAAACAGAAGTTGAAGTCCACAAAAAGAAGCAGCCAAATCCAGGCCCAGTGCCATCATCATCCCCAGCTAGCTCGAGCAGCCGGATTCCACTAGCCCAAAACCAGAAGGAAAAAAGCCACTCTCTCTCTCTCCTTCTTCATCTCCCAAATCTCAGAGCAATCAATCACTCTCTCTCCCATGGCTCTCTCAGACAAGCAATCGCGTAAGCCTCTGATCCCGAGCTTCCTCTACAGTTCCTCGTCCTCCATCGCGCTGGAGAAGATGTTCTACGCCAGGCCTAGCGGCGGCTTCACGCCGACTGCCACCGTCGAAGGAGTCTCCGCCAGGAAGGGCCTCGTCATTCCGTCGCCCCGCGAGCCCTTGGGGAAGACCGAGATGTACTCGCCTTCCTTCTACGCTGCCTGTACTTTTGGAGGAATTCTCAGCTGTGGTCCCACCTCACTTTCACTTTCAGTCCCTCGAATCAGATTTGGGGCCAAACCTCCATCCAACGCGGCCCCCGCCCCGATTCGACTCATCCGAAATTCGATGAGTCAACCAGCCGCCGAGGTCAATCCGGACATCCCAAAGTCCGACACCACGGAAGTCCTGGTTCAGTACGTCGTGCTCCGGCGAGACCTAATCGATACGTGGCCGACGGGCAGCGTGGTCACGCAGGGCTGCCATGCCTCCGTATCCGCCATTTGGTCCCACAAAGACGACCCCATCACCCTCCAGTACTGCAGCCCAGAAAACATCGATTCTATGCATAAGGTTACCCTTGAGGTGAAGGGAGAACCCCAGATAGTGAATTTGTCAGAGAAGCTCAAATCAGGTGGCATAGCACACAAGCTCTGGATTGAACAACCCGAAAACTTCCCAACTTGTCTCACTCACACGGCCGTCACTCCCCACTCGCACTGATCAAATTTCAACAAAAACCACCAAATGGGTGTTCAAATACACAATTTGTCTCTGTCCTCCCTGATTATTTTGATAATTTCAGCTGCAAGTTTGCAACTTTTAGCAGAATCCAAGACTTTCTGGGCCGACATTGAAGCTCTCAAGGAGTTCAAGAACTCACTCAACCCCGATTCAGTGAGTCCTGGCTCGTGCGTCAGCTCCTGGGACCTCACCCTCGACCCCAAATTCAACCTCCAAATGTCCAGGCTCCTATTGCGGCTCAAAGTCAAAATCAGGTACAAGCCAATCAACAGGTGCAAGTGCCTCCGTATCAGCAGCCCCAAATTCGCCAACCTCACCCTCACCAGACTCGGCCGCGACTCGGCCCGAGTGAACTCGCTCCACACCAAGCTCCAGCTGGCCCTCCAGGGGATAAAAAGAGTGGATCTCGAGCCCATGCACACCGAGATCCAATCTCCAAGACGATGAATTTGAGATCCCAAGCCTCTGGTTGCTGAGAAAATGGGTTGAAATCAATTGGAATTTGAGATCCGACAGATTCAATCGCTGCCTTGTTCTTCTATTTGGATTTATTGTTTTTCTCTTATTTAATAAAAGAAGAAAACACAAACCAGACTCCAGAGAGATGGAGGTTGGAGCTGTTACTGCCATGAGGTATGTAAGGGAAGGAATCAAAGCTGCTAGATGGGGAAAATTGCCGTTGGTACCTCGACAAATGGAGCCACCAGCTGAGAAGTCCGTACCTGTGCGACGAAATTCCATGGCGGATTTCTAGACGACAAAGTCTAGATACAGTCACCAGAACGAGTTCCTGACGAATTCTAGTTCCAGTTCTTCAGATTCCAGTGGTGGGTTTTCTTCGTCGGAGTCGGAATCCATGTACGGATCAAAATCGAGGTCCTCATCGTCATGCTACAGCATGCACAGGCCGAAGCCAATTCGAACCAGCTTTTCGTCAGAAAAGGTTCCATTTGACGATCACCAGAGAAATTACCATCACAATTCACAGAAGAAGCACGAGAATGGGTTCGTGAAGACGAAATCAAAAGCGCTGAAGATTTACGGCGATTTGAAGAAGGTGAAGCAGCCGATTTCGCCAGGTGGTCGGCTAGCCAGTTTTCTCAATTCTTTGTTCAATGCAGGGCACGTGAAGAAGTCGGTGAGGTTTTGTCCTGTAAGTATGATTGTGGATGAGGATTGCCGCCCTTGCGGACAAAAGACTCTACTTGAAGCACAGTCGGGTTTAATGGCCGCAGCTACAACAAATGAAGATGTTGGACTTGAGTGTTGTGTAATGGAGGTTGATGAAGACAATGACCACCGGCGCCGTGAGACCTCCTGCGTTCACCACCCTGTGAATTTCCAATCAAATCCAAGAGCTCTGCTCCCCTTTTTCTGCAACAAAAGAACATGAAGTCAGTAAGAGAGGTTAAGAGAAAGTGACGGAACACGACAAGGCGCTTCTTCCTCTCCATCCATGCAGCTCCTCGCCTGCAAGGACCTCGAGTTCGTCATTCTGGCCACCATGATCAAAATCAACGAAGAGCTTCATCGACCGCTGTCAAACGACTAGCCGGCCTTCAAACTCGACGCCTTACACTCTGCCTTAAGATCTACTTCTGCACATCCGCCATGGCTGCTGCCTTTGAATGTGATCAACAAAATCAAAGTTTGTTAACTCACACCCAAAGATCTCATCCGTATGCTTGCCTCTGCTGCTGCCTTTGAATGTGATTGACAAAATCAAAGTTTGTCAACTCACACCCAAAGATCTCCTCCGTCTTCTCTCGGACTCGGCCTGGGTTTTCACCCACGAACTCAGCCTTGCAGATGGCCTTATAAAGAAAAAAAAAAAAAAATAGCAATGATGATGCTGGGAAGCATCTTTCAAAAGAAAAAAAAAAAAAAAATATATATATATATATATATAATAAAAACATTGATGGTAGATGGCACCATGTAAAAGAAAAAATTAAAAAAAAAAAACTTTCATGGTGGAGGACATCAAGTAATAAATATATATATATATAATATATATATATATATATATATATATATAATTATAAAGGCTTCAGGCGTGAAGGCAAAAGAATAAAAAAAAGGTGGCAATGATGATGTTGGGAAACATCTTTCAAAAAGAATAAAATAAAAAAAGAGATAGCAATGATGATGTTGGGAAGCATCTTTCACCAGCTGCCAACTGTTTAAATTAGCAGATTGGAGGGCATTCGGCTCTCACAATGCCAAAAGCTGAAACCACTCACAATGGCAAGCTACTGTTAGCAAGTCAAGAAGAAAATAAGGAGAAGGTGGTGCACGGCATCACTTGCAAAAGTGTGTTAAAAAAAAAAAAAAAAAAAAAAAAAAAGGAAATAACACATCTTGGTGATATATATGTTTTATTGGTATTTAGCACAATACACTGAATAAAATAAAACATGTACATTGATTTCCGAGAAATTACAAGGGCATACAAAAAAAAAAAAAAAAAAAAAAAAAAAAAAAAAAAAAAGATGGAGCTTTCACAAAGGATGTTCACGTGAAGCCCCACTACTTGGCCAAACTCCAGGAGCAGGAGGCACCGAAGAAGATAGATCATTCGAGGCCCCAAACCTTGGTGGAACGCTGGATGACCCAGGAAAGAGGTGCCTCTGGAAGAAAGACGCAAGCCTTTGACGGTCGCTTTGAATTCGACCTTGAGATTCTTGCATCTCATCAAGCTTCCTCTTCATGCCCGACGAATAGTTATTTGCAAGCACATGCAAACTTCTATTCTCGTACTTAAGCTGTTTAATCTCCTGCTTAAGATCTTCCACCTCTGCCATCAATGATTCCACTTGACGAGACCGAGCAAGCAGGCGTTGGCCCATGTTGGACACAGAGCTCGCACACTGAACACTGAGAGCGAGGGACTCTTGAACGGCCAACTCATCGGACCGTCCTGAAAGCAGCCTACTATCTTTTGGTGTGAGAAGGTTCCTAGCTACTATTGTAGCTGTTGTTGCATCCTGCATCACTGAGTCTTCACCTGTAAGAGGACCGTTAGGAAATAAGAAAGACGGGCACCATACATTACCTTGACGCGGTGCAACCGGATCACTGCTGAGACTCAATTCTAAGCTAAGGTTCGATGGGTTAGCCATTTTTCAAAGGTGTTAAAAGAGATAGGTGGATGGAGTTAAAACTCAAAAGGCCGGAGATGATTTTCAGGAATGAGCAACCTTCAAAGTATGCATGTTACAGGTGATCAATACCTCTATAAAAAGGAAGAGGCGCTTGCTCAGAAATCAAAGAGGCGTTCGTTCAGAAATCGAAGGGCCGCTTATTCAAAAGTGAAGAGACATCGCTCTGCAAATCTCAAAAGCTGGATTTTCCGGCGTAAGTTAGGCGACGCTTTCTCGGCTTTCCAGAAAACGCGTTCAACTTTGTCAAAAGGATCTCCGACAAAGTTGAAAACACGTGGAGGCTGGCGACGCTTTCGCGACTTTTCAGAGCACGGGTGCCACTTTGTCAAAAGATCACGTGGAGGTCATCATCGCAGCTACACATCTTTAGCTGACAAGCGCAAAGTTCGGCGACGCTTTCTCTGCTTTTCAGAAAACGCGTGCAGCTTTGTCAAAAGAGGCACTCGTTCAGAAATCGAAGAGGCGTCGTTCAGAAATCAAAGAGACGTATTCAAAGATCGAAGAGTCGTCACTATTTCAAAAAGCCGGATTTACGGGATCAAAACGTTTGTCGACAAGGGTAAAAGAACAGCACCACCACTTGCTATTGGGAAATCCCTATATATGTCGACCTTCATCTTTTATGGCAAGGCAAACCTGCAAACAAGAAAAAAAAAATGCCCAACTCTTCCTCACCTCCGAGAGTACACTCCCAGCAAAGCATCTCAAAATGCTCAGTTTTCTTCCTCTCCGGGAATACCCTTGCAAACAAAAGACACCAAGGCAAAAGTATCTCATATCATCAAGGGCGAAAGCAAAGGTATCTCATATCATGCTTTTCCCCTATCTTTTCCTTTGCCCTTGTTCTCACCTGCCAGGACAAGGACAGAGAAAGCAATATGTCGGAACCTCCACTCAAACTTGCGCTGCCACCAAGAAGTAATGGTCCATTCAAATGCAAGGTTTGCATTCAACTCCTGCATCAGGAACAAATAGTACAAGAGAAGATGCTAAACCTGCATAAGGAAATACCACTTCTACAAAGGGGAGCAAGTAAGGCAAGTGAAAATGATGCATTGAAGCATGTGGAGACAAGCTACAACTGCATATGCTGAGCTATCCTCTAACCCTCTTCAATACGAATTGGAGAGATTGAACAAAGAAACAGAAAAAAAGGAGTAAGCTCAGACCTTCGGGGAAGACCAAAAGAATCCTGCCGCCCAGTTCAAGAGTAGCACAAAGGAAAATCAACGATAGGGGGAGACCAAAAGAATCCTCCAACCCAGTTCAAGATCAAGCCTCGATGGCCCTTGAAGAAATCACAAAGTCCGATTCAAAATCAAGTGTTCACCACCCTTGAATCAAATTCAACTCCAGATAAAAGGAGTAAGTTCAGACCTTCGGAGGAGACCAAAAGAATCTTCCAGCCCAGTTCAAGATTAAGCCTGCGGAAAATCAACGATTGGAGGAAACCAGAAAATCTTCCAGTCTAACTTAAGATCAAGCCTCGATGGCCCTTGAAGAAATCTCCAGCTCAATTCAAGATCAAGCCTCGACGGCCCTTGGGTTGACATCTACATTAAGGGACTTCAAAACGCATCTTCTACACGTGACAAGCACATGTCTACGACACGCCTTGAAGTGGGGGCATTTGTAGACATCAAAATTTTGGTGAAATAAATGTTGACCAAAAATTAAAATTTCAACGCTCACGTATCACATAAATTTTACATGTAGCGTGTGACTCAACGAAAAATCGAAATAAATTGGAAAAGTCATCAAATATGACACGTGTCAATACCTGGCAGAAATGATTTATTTCATCTGATTATTTAAATCCAAAAATCAAGTTTTGGAATTCTATAAATAGGAGGCCAAGGCATTCATTTTGAGGAGAAGGAGAAAAGAAGGGAGGAGAAGGAGAAAAGAAGGGAGGAGAAGGAGAAAGAAGGAAGGAAGAAAGAAAGAAGCCTTGAAACTCTAAAGCTCTCAAGCAAATCCCGAAGGATCAAGAAAGCACTCTTCGTTCTTCGTCAAATCGTTCTTCAAGATTCAAGCCCCGACGGCCCTTGAAGAACTTCCACCTTCAAGATCAAGCCCCGACGGCCCTGGAGGAAAGTGTTCATCGTTCATCATCCACCTTCAAGATCAAGCCCCGACGGCCCTTGAAGAACTTCCACCAACTCAAGATCAAGCCCCGACGGCCCTGGAGGAAAGTGTTCATCGTTCATCATCCACCTTCAAGATCAAGCCCCGACGGCCCTTGAAGAACTTCCACCAACTCAAGATCAAGCCCCGACGGCCCTTGAGGAAAGTGTTCATCATCCATCCGTTCAATTCAAGATCAAGCCCCGACGGCCCTTGAAGAACTTCCACCAACTCAAGATCAAGCCCCGACGGCCCTTGAGGAAAGTGTTCATCGTTCATCATCCGTTCTTCAAGATCCAAGCCCCGACGGCCCTTGAAGAACTTCCACCAACTCAAGATCAAGCCCCGACGGCCCTTGAAGAAAGTGTTCATCGCTCATCATCCGTTCATCCTAAGATCAAGCCCCAACGGCCCCTTTGGATCAACAACCTCAACAAATCCACACATCCGTTCATCCTTCAAGATTAAGCCCAGAAGCCCTTGAAAATCCGTTCATCCTAAGATCAAGCCCCAACGGCCCCCTTGGATCAACAACCTCAACAAATCCACGCATCCGTTCATCCTTCAAGATTAAGCCCAAAAGCCCTTGAAGATCCGTTCATCCATCAACCTTCAAGATCAAGCCCAACGCCCCTTGAAGATCCATTCATCAACTGTGCATCCTTAGATCAAGCCCCGACGGCCCTTTGGATCAACAACTCATCCACAAACCCACACCCTACGAAGATAGAATCAGAGGACCAAATTACAAAGAGATTGTAACCCCAAAATCATTAATACAAAAAAATATATTTTGTACACGTATTCTTGTCGCTTGTTTCAGGAATATCTCGTGTTTACAGCTATACAGGGACACGTGTACGGAGGTGAATGGGAAGTTCGTGAAGGACCTGGCAATTCAGGGGAGGGACCTGAGCCGGTTGGTGATTGTCGACGACAACCCCAACGCGTACAGCTTCCAGCCGGGGAACGCAATCCCAATTCTGCCGTTTGTGGACGACGTGGCCGACCGGGAGCTGAGGAGGGTGCTGGAGTTCTTCGAGGACGAGGAGGCTCGCTGCTGCGACGACATTAGGGACGCTGTGAGGCGGTTTGTTGGGGATGACGAGTCGATGACGTCATCAGACGACGACGACGACGACGGGTTGGAGTTGGAGGAGATGATGGATGCCAAGTGTAAGCTCCCGGTGCTGATGGTTTCATCAAAAGCGCGGGAAATCATGAGTCGACGTGAATTTCACCCGTTTGGGATACCCATTTTAGGGTTTCGGACGAGTATGGTGGTGATGTTCTGTTTATTTCTGCTACTTCTTCATGTAATGTGCTTTCGCACAGGATCAGTTCACACATTTTTTAGTATTGAAATTTAACAAGAGCTTCTTTTAGTTTTGTTTCTAATATATATTGAACCGTTCACTCCGTCTTTTACATTTAAGTTTGAATCGCTTCGTCAATGTATTGAGAAAAAAATATTGAACAAAATCCTAACGCCAAAAATTATAGAAAGTGTAACATCCCACATCACCCAAGGGAGTGATCCTTATATGTATATTTCCATCCTTACCTAGCACGAGGCCTTTTGGGAGCTCACTGGCTTCGGGTTCTATGGGAACTCCGAAGTTAAACGAGTAGCGCGCGAGAGCATTCCCAGGATGGGTGACCCATCGGGAAGTTCTCGTGTGAGTTCCCAGAAACAAAACCGTGAGGGCGTGGTCGGGGCCCAAAGCGGACAATATCGTGCTACGGTGGTGGAGCGGGCTCGGGAAATGGTCCACCCCGGGCCGGGATGTGACAATTTGGTATCAGAGCCTAACCCTGGCCGCGTGTGTGCTGACGAGGACGTCGGGCCCCTAAGGGGGGTGGATTGTAACATCCCACATCGCCCAGGGGAGTGATCCTTATATGTATATTCTCATCCCTACCTAGCACGAGGCCTTTTGGGAGCTCACTGGCTTCGGGTTCTATGGGAACTCCGAAGTTAAGCGAGTAGCGCGCGAGAGCATTCCCAGGATGGGTGACCCATCGGGAAGTTCTCGTGTGAGTTCCCAGAAACAAAACCGTGAGGGCGTGGTCGGGGCCCAAAGCAGACAATATCGTGCTACGGTGGTGGAGCGGGCCCGGGAAGTGGTCCACCCCGGGTCGAGATGTGACAGAAAGACTAAAATACTTCAGGATTTTTTTTTTTTTTTCAAACGATAGACAAATATTTTTGTAAGCACGAGTTTTCTGCGACGAATGAAACAAGAATACGTTTATAGAATAATGAATTTGTATTAATGAGTTTGGGGTCACAATCTTTGTGGTTTATTCATTACAAGACTATTTCTCTGGTTCAATCTCTAGCTAGTATTGAGATGTGATCATGCAATTGATCTTGAATCATGACGATATTTTATCAAGGGCCACCGAGGCTTAATTTTGAACAAAACAGGACCACGAGCAATTTCACGTGGTGGGTGGTCTTCAACTTTAGTATGGATGAACTAGCACGTATATTTGTTGTGCTTGTTGATTATCCATGAGTTTGATAAGAGCACGAGTGTTTGGGTGTTTGGTATGTGCTTTGGCTAGAGAACTTTCTGGTTTTCTCCGAAGGTTTGGTCTTGTTTTGTTTCTCTTATGTTTTGTTTCATGAAAATGAGCCTAGTATTTAGAGGCGAGCGATTGAGTCTTAGTTTAGAATCTCAATCCCAATCTCAATCCGTAATTTGTGGAATTGATTTCTAGATTTGATTTAATTTGAGCTAATTATTTAATTAAATCAGAATCTTTAATTTAGGAAATTAAACCATAATTGATATAATTTGTCAAAGTAGAGTTAATTTGTCCCTTTTTGAATTTGATTTAATTTAGTTTAGAGACTAATTGATTTAATATTATCACTAATTTGATTAAAATCAGTAGTTTAAGGAATTAAACCATAATTGAGAGATTTGATCAACCAGCGTTAATTTGCTTTTTTTTTTTTTTTTTTTTAACTTATTTTGATTTGTTTAACGGATGCCTTAGATGCCAATGCCTGTCACTCTTGATGACTCATAGGCTTTGATGATGATGAGTCACATACAATGTGTGCAATTTGGCGAGACCTATGGTGTGTGCCACATAATCCCTAACTAGTTAAAATTTAATTCGTTGATGAACATTTATTTTATTAAAATTTCGATGTCTAAAATTATTAATGTATAAAAACAAATTGATACATTAGTATCATCAGCGAGAGTATTGAAAACCCATGTTGGTTCTCAATCAACCCCAATGAGACACACCTTTACCTTTGAAAACATAAGCAGCCACCTTGTTGCAACGGTGCTTCACTTTCGAGGAGATTACTTAAATATAACGGACTGCAAGTGAGAATTGCTCAAAAATGCATGTCTAATGCTTTTTCAGTATACAGTATATCCATGCAATACATTATCACCCAACAACTACAGAAGCTTCCTCTTCAAAAACAAGAACAAATAAGAAGGTTCTTAAGGGCCACTCAGTACTACGATCTAGTGATATTCCTCTTCACTTGTAAGTAAAATGTCATGGGTTCAATTTTCGTCAAAAGACAAATTTGAACCACATTATTGCTAGTCTATTGTAAGGCTAAGCTCACCCCATCTCTCTTAATATGGATAATATCATTTTTTAAAAATAAAATAAAATAAAAAATGTTGTCAAGAATAAGAAGAAAAAGAGTTGGCAGAGCATGTAATTTTGCACAGATTATGTAAAACCTGGCAACCAGCCGATCCCCCCGAACCAAACCAACAACCGCGCTCCCCCTCAAAACAAACAGACTTAGCCTCAGCTTCGGATCCGAACCTATGCTGACGACCGTTACACCGAACCTAAAGTTTAAAAAAGTCCCCCAAGCCACCGTTTTATTTCAAACCTCCAACCCCTCTCTCTCTCTCTCTCTTTATATTTCTGTTTCTCTCTCTTGATTTCTCTAATCAAGATTTCGCAGAAGCAATTGGGAAAGCAAGAAATTTGAATTTTGAGGAAATGGTGTCCAAGATTGTGAAGAAGAGCGCCAACAGGCGACGCAATCGCGGAAAGTCCTCGGCCAAGAAGGCGGCAGTCGCGGCCTCCTCCGCAGTGTTGGCCTCCCTTTTCACTTGCCCGCGCCGCCTCGTCAAGCTCTTCGCGAAACTTGCGCGAATTGGCACTCCGAACCGCCACAAGGGCTTCAAGATCCTCAAGAAAGCCCAAGTCAATGAAGCGGAGCCGGAATCCGAACCTGGATCGGGAAACCCGCTCTGCCGCAAGCTCTTGTTCGAGCCGCCCCTTCCACCGCTTTTCTATCCGGAGACGATGACGGTGATTCTCGATCTGGATGAGACCTTAGTGCACGCACAGGCCGACCCGCCTCCGGAGAAGTTCGATTTCATAGTGCGGCCGAAGATCGACGGAATCGAGATGAATTTTTATGTTCTTAAGCGGCCCGGAGTGGACGAGTTGTTGGAGAAGTTAGGGGCGATGTACGAGGTGGTGGTGTTCACGGCAGGGTTGAGAGAGTACGCGTCGCTGGTTCTGGACCGGTTGGACCGGAAACGGGCGATTTCGCACCGGCTCTATCGGGACGCGTGTAAAGAAGTGGACGGGAAGTTCGTGAAGGACTTGTCCGGGCTGGGGAGGGACTTGAGCCGGGTGGTGATTGTGGATGACAATCCCAATTCGTACCTCTTTCAACCGGAGAATGCTGTTCCGGTCCGACCGTTTGTGGAGGACATGGCGGACCGGGAGCTGGGGAGGTTGGTGGAGTTCTTTGAAGGGTTGGATTGTGAGGACATAAGGGACGCTGTGAAGAAATTTGTTGGCTGCGGCGGCGGAGGCGACGGCGGTGGATCAAAAGACGGCAAAGCAGTGTGATTTTCATTTGGCTCAATGGGATTTTTTTTTTCTTTTTCTGTTGAGTTTGTTTTGTTGAAGTTGAACAGCCCACGTTCAATTTTTTTTTGAAATTTTAAGGGAAAGTGAAAAAAGAGGCTCTTCTTATTTCACCAGATTTGATTTGATTTGATTTGTAAACTCAGCTCTCAGTTCACTTGCTCAATTAATTATATGTAGCTTGATTTGGTTTCTGTTGTTCTTTTCGTAAACTCATCATATAACTATAACGAGAAATTATTAGATGATACATTATTACCACGTCAGCTGGTGATATTTTCGTTCAAATTTTGACGTGTGTGCAGTTGTTCACAGTTAGATTTAAAACTTTTTTTTCAGTTTGAATTTAAAAGCTTTTTTCAGTTGGGAAACAAAATTAAAAATTAAAAGTAATTCCAAGCAACCACCCCTTCCGCCAAAGCCTCAATTCCCCACCAGCTACCTCACTCCCTGCCATCGATTTCCACGGCTGCCTTCCTCCTGAAAAATCACCTCCAATGTCAAAAGAAAATGATTTCGTTCTTCAAAAATTAATATGCGCCTTTAACATCCAGCAATCGTTCATCCACAAAAATGGAGTCGTGCCGATTTCAACACTGTGAAGGCCGAGAAAGCGAGCGTAAAGAAAGGTGCAAACACGACTGAAGCATCTGTAAGATTACGAGTATGGAATAGAACTGCCTATGGTGTTTGAGAATTGTGATTCAGTTGATTGAATCTTTATCCTTGTTAAAGTTATTCTTACAGCATCGGCTTAGCCGAACTCGGCCTCCACGTCGTCTTCCTCCGTTGGACTCACTAATTTCCCTGCGCCATAAAAATTCCCGCGTCTACCTCGTTCACCTCTCAAAGCCCTCCTCTTTGTCTTCCTCTGGCAGACTGGCACATCTTCAATTCCTACCCGTGATCGTAATAAGGACACTTCAAATAAAACATCGCCAGTGGCGACGGTAGAAAATCAGAGACGGCGGCATTCCTAACTCAGCTGTCAAAAACCTATACAAATGGCAAGTTTTGAGTTGAAGTATTTCTCCAATAGGAATCCCCTTTGTGTGTTTCGGGCTAACGCATTCTCGCAGTGTTTTGGTAGCAAAATCCTTCACTATTGTCTCGTTGCAATGGTTTGGTATAACAGAAGACAATGTCTTTGAGGGTAAGGGCCAAAGCAGAGGATCTAAGCTTCACTCGAGCAAACGAATCTCTACTCGTTTTTGTTCTCCTTGCTCTTAGGATGCAGCTCGACAACCAGAAGCCAAACTACTGATGACAAGCAAACAAAGCTAGATAAATAATCCTCAAACATCATCTCCGGCATGGGGAGCTGTGAAAACCTAAGATTCCGAAACCTGATTGCCCTACACTTGGAAGGGGTCTTTTGTATAGCAAAGTCCTCGAGTAATTTATCTTCCTAATCTGCAAAATGTGTCTCAATCTCTTTCTAAGTATAACATTATCTTACTACTAAATCTTCCTTATTATCCGAAGAGTAGCGACTTCCACACTCACATTTTCTCCGTTTGCACTCCTCCCCTTGTCTTTACGCTTTGATTCTCCCTTCGTTTACTCAATTACCAAAGCGCAAAAACACGATGGACGAGTGCAAATCACTCACAGTTTCTCCGTTTGCACTCGTCCCCATGTCTTTACGCTTTGATTCTCCTTTCCTTTACTCAATTACCAAAGCGCAAAAACACGATGGACGAGTGCAAATCGATAAAATGAGAGTACGAAAATCGCCACCAATCCTAATTCTTTGGTGAGCAAAACCACAATCTTGTAATCCACAACAATCACAATTTGTCAATTTCAATCACATCCCATCAAGATTCAGATGTTCAATCGAAGAACAGAAGCAATTTGATTCCACAAACACAACATTTACAAATCACAAATGCAGTTGCACAATTCAGTACAAAACTCAACAAATTAAACAATCAGATTAAAGCCGAAAAGATTTGAAAAGCCGCAGACACTTCAATCAATCAACTCAAAGCTTACTGACGATTTTTGCCAAGTCGGGAGTAGTCAATTTTGCAAGTGAAGACCTGAAGTGGGAGCCGCAAAGCCTCGAGCTTGGGGAAGCACATGTCGTTGAGGACGTCGCTGCGGCACCACCGGCACTTGGGGTTGCGGGAGCACTGCGATTCCGAACACATGTCGTTGCAGTTCTGGATCTGACTCTGATTGCCCCCGCTGTTCCTCCTTTGGGTGCCCGACAGGTCGCGATCCGGACGGATCCGAGACTCGGATCCGTGGCAGGAGCTGTAGAGAGTAGCTAAGAGGAGCAGAACGAGGATCAAGGTTGCCGCTTTAGAACTCGGACTAGGGGACTCGGTTGCCATGGACGGCTTCTCAGACAAGGCGGTTCGTCTCTGCCGGTTCTGTCGCGGGGATGTTCGAATGCTGACTTGGTGAGCTATGAGTCCTTTATCAAGACAAAGCTCGAAAGTGATGGAGGTGGATTGTTTGCCCTCCGTTTTCATACTTTTGGTCACGATTAAATTACGTTAATATTTTATATTTTTATTACTTTTTATTTTATTATTTCTATAAAATATTGACGTGCCTTAACCGTGACCACATATCACAGGAGGGCATGAAGAGATTATGAAAATGAAAGAGCATACAATCTAACTCTGAAAGTGATGGTAGGAACACAAAATATGATAAATAAATAAATAAATAGGAACTAAAAAAGATTCACTATTTATTAACCTTGTGGTTAGATGGAAGTTGTTTTGATTGTATCTCATGTCAAGAAAAGAATGAACGTAATATGTGTTTATAAAAGTTAAATTATTTTTTATATTGCATTTAGTTTTGTGTTGAAACTTCAATTTTTTTTTAATTATTATTTTTATTATTTTCATGTATTCTTATTAAGACCTTATCTAAAAGTTTTGAGTCTGTAATTAAGTGGTTACATTTATTTTTATGTAGTTGAATATATAGTAGAACTTTGATCATTTAACAAAGAAAAGAGCTAAGAGGACTTTCTCAAAAATCCCACCGTGTGTTTCTTTGTGTGTAGCAAGTGGGCTGGAAAAGAACGGGAACATGGTTGATCTATTTTATGGCGAAACATCAAAGCATAATTGCACACTCACACAATCTTTACCGAAAGATAGTATCATTTGATGGAACGATGAACTACACTTGCTTATGAATAGATGTGTGGGACAGAGGGCTCCTAGTACCTGCTGCCCACACCTCCTCCTCTACTTTGAGAATCGTGTGAACGAAGGGTGGGAAGAATGGAACAATTCTCGATAGATTATCTGTTACCTTACCTTTTAACGTTAATTATCGTGCCAACATATTATCCAACGTTTTATTTTGCTAATATTATTATTTGCAGACTCATTGAGTTTTATGTTCCAAAAAGTAGGGAAAAAAATAAATTTCTTATAAAGTTGATAAATAATTAAAATTGAATAGAAGTAAATAAATAAAACCTGGAAACAATAATATTAATCGATAGAGAGGAAACGTTTAAGAGACGAAGACCGACACACACGACATTACAGCTCCTTCCTCTACTCCTTCACCTATCGATCCTATTTTTTTCTACGCTTTAATAATTTTGTAATTTTTCGACTTATTTTCCTCCTAATTTCTTCGTCGCTCGCAAAATTCAGTTCCTTGATGATCTGTATATGCCGACGAAGAACATAAAGATTAAAGGGCGAAGCTTGATTTGGTTATACTAATGGAGGGCCCCCATAAACTGAATTCTGACGTTGAGGCGGAGGATTTGGCTTCTAGGGTTTCGGATTTTTCACTTCGCGGCGACACCTCCCACTCGAATTTCCATTCTCCGCTGGTAATTTCAATCCTCTATTGCTTTATTTGAATTGGGATTTTATGATTTTATTTATTGCGTGTGTTTAAGTTTTCAGTTCAATTTTGGAATTTGATCATATGCTTTGTGTTTATTGTTCTTGATTAAGTCCCAAAATTTAATTGGTATTGCCTCGGCTACGAGAACAATTAGGATTTAGGGTTTCTTTACGTGGTTCGGAAGTAAAACTCAATTTGGAGAGATGGGAAAGTTACAGTCTTTCGGTGGTTTTTCGTGGTTTCAAATTTAGGGTTTCTCTAAAAATAAGATAGTGATTAGGTCTTTCTGATTAATTTAGGTTTTGATTTTGCTGCCGTGTTGCTTTGTGCTTGGGGCTTGCTACTTATTGAATTGGAAGTTTGAGTCTTTTCGAAGTTGGATATTTGAAACACTAACTGGTTCTGTTTTGTGGATCACAGAATGATGGAGTTGTTAATCATGGAGAGCGGAAGCGTAACGATGATCAAATAATGACAGAATCTAGAGAATGTGATGCTGGGAATCACGGGAACGAGAATGGGGAGCAAAAGAAATACTTTTGTTATGATGCTCCCGTTTCTGAAGAAACCGGGGTTTGGATACCTGTTTCTGTTCCACCTATGTGGGAAGCTGAGCATGATGGGTGGGGCAAAGGTTTCTACTCTAATGGAGGATACTTGCCTGAGAGTGACATGGGTTGGGGCCAGTATATTGGGGATGAAAAGGAGCTGACTATGTGGGATGTGATGGTAGAAATGTTGCTTGCAGCCCGTGGGAAAGTAAGTTCATTAGCTTCAGCTGATACATACGGATGTAAACTTTCGTGGATGTCTGATAATCTCCTTAATCAAGCATGGAAAGAAATGGCCCAAACACTCACTGATGCAAATTTTGCTAATGTAAGAGAACTCATTGAAGCTGATCCCCCAAAATGGTTGGCCAATAGTTCTGCTTCTGCTTGTATGCTGTGTGGTGTGCATTTTCATCCAATCATGTGTTCTAGGCATCACTGTCGGTTCTGTGGAGGAATATTTTGTGGTGACTGCTCTAAGGGAAGGAGTTTGATGCCGGCTAAGTTTCGTGTTGCAGATCCCCAACGAGTCTGTGATGTATGCTGTGTACGACTAGAGTCTGTCCAGCCGTACTTAATGGACCAAGTAAGCCATGCAGCCCAGGTGCCAACCCAAGATCTTACAGATCTTAGTACTTTGAGGTCATGGGTTAATATTCCTTGGGGACAGTCCATGGAGTATGAGATATACAAGGCGGCAAATGCAATTCGTGCTTATAAGAAGGTAAGAGTCTTAAGTGGCAGAATTGTTGAACAAATATTTTATTGATGCTTGCTGTTTTAATAGCCAGTGAGCTGCAATTTTACTTTGAAGGGCTTTTGCAGCTTTGCCTTATTGTTCCAATATCATAGTGACTGTTTGCTTAGGCTTGAGAATTTGGTTGTCCGACTTAAATAAATGTGTGGTGGGAGAAGAATTCATGAATATTGTTGTTTGTATGATATTGAAATGTACTATTAATTTCTGAATGAGATTATCTTTCCAACTTTATCGAGTTTCTTTTTCTAAATGCTGTTCATGGAATTAATTGCCTCAGGTGTGTTCACTAAGGCCTGAGAAGTCAATTCCAGATACCATTCTGAGACAAGCAAAAGGCCTTGCAATAATCACTGCTGTGAAAGTTGGAGCTATGGTTACCTACCATATCGGTACAGGAGTTGTGATTGCTCGTAGAGAAGATGGCTCCTGGTCTCCACCATCTGCTGTTTCTACATTTGGTTTAGGCTGGGGAGCTCAGGTATGATATTTTTACTGTAACAACTTCGACTATAATCTCCTGTCTGACAATTTTTGGCCACTATGACCGAGATAGCCAGTGCATACCTGTGTTCAGTTATAATCAAATGTACCAAATTTAGAAATTTTGTGCTTTACATTGAATCCTTGTTTGAAATGTGATATTAGATCACCATGTGTTTTGAATTTTTCTAAGAATTTAAAATCTCCGTTCTCATCCCTCTTTTTTTGTTGCAGGCTGGAGGGGAGGTGACAGACTTCATCATTATTTTGAGAACAAGTGAAGCTGTAAAGACATTTAGCGGTAATGTGCATCTATCAGTTGGAGCTGGCTTGAGTGCTGCAATTGGCATTGTTGGAAGGGCAGTTGAAGCTGATCTTCGAGCCGGTGATGGTGGTTACACTGCTTGTTATACATACAGCTGCAGTAAAGGTGATTCTCATATGCCTTTATGATGTCTCACCTTAAACCACCTTAATTGTCTACTAAGCAAGTTAGCATACGATTGACATCGTGATGTTATATCTGTATTTTCTTTCATATTTTCATCAGTTATCTGCATTTGTTGCATGGTTTCCTTATTGAGAATACCACACAACTTCACCGAACATTGCATTTGCAGGTGCATTTGTTGGATGCTCACTTGAAGGTAGCATTGTAACCACCCGCACGAAAGTGAATTCTCGATTTTATGGCAGCCAGTCAATAACTGCATCAGAAGTTCTTCTTGGCTCGTTGCCTCAACCCCCTGCTGCTTCTACGCTCTATCGTGCTCTTACAGATCTATATCAGAAGATCGAGCAGTGTCCCCAAATCGTTCACTGAAGATTTCTAGGCGATCATGAGGAAACAAATCGTTGAAGTTTGTACATTCTATGCATATATGCCTTGAAGCTTTTCAGTTGTGAAGGTTCGTTGCTGCCATTCTTTGCCCATGAAATTTTTTTTTCTGGGACTTATCGTGTACATGGAGACCACCGCGGGGGAAAGGGGAAAATGTACCTTATTGGAGCCACTGTATATAATCATTCCTTGTCGTTTTCTATCTGTAAATTATACATTTATTCTGGAGAAAGCCAGAAACTTACTGAAAAAGTATTTCTTAAGAAATCAGAAAAGTTGGTATTTTGTTGTCGCTGATCTTGAAATGTTTAACTTCGCCTGTGTAAGTGTATCATAAGCCGTCGGTTCCAAGTCCAGATAAAGGACGGGGAGGGTGTCATGTAACCAATAGCGGGCACTCTGTTTCCACGTTGAATCCTTATGATGATGATAAGGCTTAGTTGTTGCTTTAATCTGGAAGAGTGGATCATAATGTATGATTCAGGCTTTGCTTGCTCCCCGAAAGGATGACGATTTGCGACAATATTATGAACAAATTTCGTTCTAATAACAATTTCCCCTAGTTATTTTTCATTTAAATTTTTCCCCCACTTATGGATTCACTTATAATTCAGCTAATTGAACCGAAATAATTGAATCATAGAAAAAAATGGTTCAATTATTTCATATCAAGTGATCGATCGAAACAAACAAACGAGCTATCAAGGTAAATTAATGTATCAATCCTTCCAAATGGTAAGTGGAAAAAAGTAAAAAATTTGACAAAGAAGAATAAAATCGGATGAATGAATTTAACACAAGACCATGAACTATTTATAATTTAATTTTTAGTCCTTTTTTTGTTAAGGAAAAAAATAAAAGGAGAAAATGAAAAAAAAAAAAAAGAAGAAAAAAAGAAAAGAAAAACAGCTGCTCCTACTCACTGTACTTGTAACTGATCAACTGAAACACCCTGGAGACATGAAGTGGAAACGCACACAATTATCTTCTAACCCGATTCCCTCAAGCCGCTCTATCTTCAGCGCCAACGCATGTCCTTAACAAACAAAGCCGGTAAAGTTGAGGAATTCTCCAAACGCTGGATCCATTTCGCCTCTAATCGGTTCCTCCAACTTACCTTGTTCGAGTGCTCCCGAGCGTAAGTTCCAGATCATCTGATACGCATTCCTCAATCCTCTCACCTTCCCATGGCTTTACTAGTCCTGTTGTGTTACTGCCAAATGCAAACTCAGCTGCCATCCCGTCGGACATTGGAACATCTCCAGGTGTGATCAATACTTGCAGCAACTGCCGGGGAACATGTTCCACTTTGCCCGGGAGTCCACATCCGAGACCCTCCACCTGACAAAGCCTCCTTCAAGTTAAAGGGTTTCTCGAGACAAGGCTAAATGTTGGAGATGATGGGCCACTCTGGGGGATTTGCAGTCCAGCAAGCCATCCTGAATCAGGGAGAACCTGGCGACCAGGGCTTGGTGGGGTGGACGAAGGCAGGAAAGGATAATGCTGCCCTGCCCAGTTTGAGCCAGCCACTGCTTCATCCCAATCACTCTTGGTTCGAGGAGTTCGACAAGTTGGGGAGCTCAGCGGTGGGGTGACTGGAGCACTTATGGAACCCCCTTGAACAAAGAGTTGGGGGAGCTTGGACGTGGCGGATGAAGAGCCTGACGAGAGCGTTTTAAGCCATGGGATCAGAGAATTGGCATCAGCATTACCGTTTCCATTTGCAGGGTAGCGAGCAGGACTTGGGAAGGAAGATGAGGCAGGACTTGGATTGTAGGATGCTCCGGGACTTGGATTGTAGGACGCACACGGACTAGGCTGGTATGATGAACATGGACTTGCTGATGTGGAACCGCCCATTATGTCCATGCGATCCACGGGTTTGCATCCCTGCAACAATGAACACATAAGATATGGTGAGACAAACAACATAATATGCCAGATTAACCTTTTTATGTCTAACGAATTAAAAACGCAATTTTCTAGCAGACGTAAAATTGTTTTTCATTCATTGTTTTCCTAAATTTGAACAGATAAAATAGTTGATAGAAGCAGAAAGATTTGTTCTTGACCGATTACTCTTTACAACCAAGTTTTCTGTACCGAAGGATAACACAAACGAGCTCAGTTCTACGATCATCACTCCTATAGTTGTTGCAAGTTCGAAAAAGCATTGAACTAAGGATAAAAGTCTTATGAAACTGCAATCCGGCTACTCTCCCCGAAAGAATCCTTTCAGTGAGTAGCCAGAAAAAAACTTGCATGCACTCGGGTTCATAACCTTTGTTCCAATAGCAATCATCGCACGAGGTGACCTAATCCCGTAACAAGTGTTACATGAACGAGGGGACAAGTGTTACATTAACAAGGGAGGGTAACACAAATGTAATTTGACTAGTTGCACCTAAATTCAGAAGAAAGACACAATTAAAAGAGGGGGCAATAATGTCAAACAGTAGATGCATGCATATTATTAGTTGGTTATCGGCCCCTCCACGACACGCCATCCCCCAACATGTTCCCTCCATCACAATCTCAAACCCACCACCGCACACGCTTTCCTGCCTCAAATTCGCATTTACAATTTTAGCCAAAACAGGCAAATCCATCAATAAAATCACCCTTTTCTCACATAAATCTCTCTTTTGGGCTAAACCCATATATATTATTCCCTAATGAAAGGATATCTACATAGTCGTTCACAATGCACTCACAGTGCCACAATACAGGCAAAAACTATCACAACATTAACATTAGTAGTTAAGATTAGGTATCGAACTCATCGACACAAGTATCAAAATCTGACACCTACGAGGGTCAAACTAAATGAAGACAAATATTACTAAACCAAAACTAATATGTCGTTTTTTATAGGTAAAAAAAATAAAAAAATAGAGACCAGATGATAGCTTTGCCATGGCAAACCATCATTTCAGGAGTCGTGAAGATTCACACAAATATTGCAACATTTTCTAAGTACCATCGTGTAATTCAATCAGCTCTATAAATCGAATCCACAATGTACCGTGTGGACCTGAAATATTTCTAAATTAACAGTTAATTATTATAATAAACACCAAGATTAAAAAAAGGGAGAGAGCACCGGCCCACGGACCATCATATGCCATGTTCTCAATCTAACGGGAAAGTACTGTTGCGACTACCCGCAAATCTCGGAAAACAGGCCAAAGAATACCCAAAATAATAAATTAAAACAAAAGTCATCGGTCGTCGCACCCATATGGGTGTATAAAGACCGAACTGCCCTCACAGCCCAACGGAGAGTTAAGCCGGGTGAAGTGGCACTTTGGGAAAGACGAAACGATAAGGTTGCCACGGTAAAAGGTATTTTCACTTTCACGCGAAATCTACAGATTCTCGCGAGAAGTAAAAAAGGAAAAAGTCTAAAGCAGGTCACAGTCCGGAGACTGATAAAATAGAAAGAACATTCAGTTGAATTAAAGCCGAGTGAAAGTTGGAGATGGGTGAAATAACCCAAATGACGAAACTGCCCTCGACAGAAAACCCGAATGGCCGATGTGGATCGACTGTGCGGGGAGGTCATTTCCCCCCGTCTGGCAGGCTATTTTGGGAACACAAAAAGGTCTGGTCGTCTCTGAGCCTTGAGTTCATCGTGTTCATGTGAAAAAAATGGAAAGCAGCTGCAGAAGCGAATCTCGAAGAACCTCGTGCTCCGTGCTAACGTGCGCCGGTAGCTAACATAATTAACTAAGAAATCAAACGAATCTCAATCGTCGATCGCTGCAATCGGCACCGGACTAATCGCAGGCTCCGCCGCTTAAGCTACCTTAACCAAGAGTTTTCAAAAACGCACAGAAGAAAAATTGGATCGGGAACAGATTTCGAGCACCACCGGCTCAATTTAACGGCGCAGGAGCCGATTTACTATCGTGCGCATTTGAGCTGAAAATGCTTCGAGAATTTTAGATAGAGAGAGTGGGGATGAATTGTGTGTGTACCTTTCGGTAAGTGGTGCCGTCTTCCTCCACGGTCCATCCGGCTTCGTTGCAGAGAGCTTTGAGGACCTCGTTGTTGTCGCAGTGCTTCGGGAGCTTGTAGTTCCCGTACATCCTCAGCCCGGAGTAGATCTTCGCAGCGATGGCACGGCGCCGCCGCTCCCGCTTCTTGTTGTTCTCTCTCTCCTTCCACGTCGGCATTCTCGTTCCCGACGTCATCATTCGGTCGCGCGGCGTTTCTGATCAACTTCCTCGGCGAACCAAACGGATCTACCGGAAAGCGGGGAGGACCGGTGGCGCGAACCGGGAATTGGCGGTTTTTTGGTGGAGACTCTGGTTTTATTACAGAGGGAAGTGAGAGGGGAGAGGGAGCTTGGGATAGGGCGAGCTAAATACAACGAGTAAATGTAACTACCCTTGTGTGAAGAAAATAATTACGAAGGGTGCCATTCATTTTCTTTTAATTTGTTTTTGGGTTCCGACTCCGGAATCACGGGGCTTAACACGTGTTTAGGCTTTTTAAAAAGGTTGCGGCTGTGGCACCGGACTTTTGCGGCAGCTACGAGTGACCAGGGCGTCGTTTTGGTTCATAGATAGCATTAAAATGATTGCTTTGCCTGTTGATTTATATTTTGATGTTCCAACAAAGCCAAGCAGGAGTGATTAGGGATAAAGACGGGAATGGGCAAAACGGGAAATTTAAGTGGGAGGGAAGGGGTATTGGGGATAAGGTTATGATTAGGCTTGTCATGATTGTGACAAAATTTCAAACGGTCACATTCACTTGACCAGATCGCCTAATTTTGACAAATCTTGCGATTGACCGGCCCTGATCTTTTCCTGGGTCGCGCTAATTGGAGTATTGAACTAAGCTACCAAATATTTCAAGGCCAACTGAGTGAGTTTTGGGTTTAAACACTTTTTAATAACATGCACAGGTGTGCAGACTACGAACGAATTGTTAATATCGCGTAGCTTCATGACGATGACAGTCTAAAGCGTTAGTAACGGTGAACAAATGTACAAACAATATTAAGCAAATTAATACTCTAACTATTCTCACGCTCATTTCACTATCTTTTCTCTTCTTTTAGTTTGAAGGATCAAACTCACTTTAGTTTGAATTTCTAATTTAAAGATATGTTTTGTAGTACAGCTGCTTATGCCCATATGTTAATGTTGATTTACATTAGAGGTGGGCACGGTTCAGTTCGATGCAGTTTTGAGTAAAATCACAATCGAAACCAAAACTTTTGTGGTTCAGTTCGATGAGGTTTTGAAACCAAAACCGAAATGAAACCAAACCATTTGGTTCAGTTC